ACAGGTAAAACATATAGCATATTTAGATAGTACTCAGTTTCAAGGAGAAAAATAAAGCAGGCTGAGATAGCAATGCAGGGTAAGTAGTGAAAATTTTAGATCACTTGGCTGTGGAAGCCCTCAATGAGAGCAGGACATTTAGATAAAACCTGAAAGAGCAAATCAAGTGGATATCTGGGGGAGAAACATCCAGGCAGAGAAGACAACAGAGGAAACGTGTATGTTAAAGACTGGCCAAGAGAAACTGGAAATTGAGGAGCACAAGGGGGATACCAGAACATAATATAAAGCTAAGTAATTAAAATAGTGTGGCATTGGTGCAGGAATAGATAATGAAACAATTAAATTGAATGAAGCCCAGAAACAACATGTATGGGATTTTTAAATATTATAAAAGAAGCATCTTAAAAGAGTTGGAAAATGATGCTTTCTTCAGCAAATGATAAGACAACAATTGGAGAAATGTTAAAAAAAAATTTGATTTTCACTTCATTCCACTTACAAAAAGAAATCTCAAAATATGAGAGAAAATCATGAAAACATTAACAGAAGATATATGAGGCTCTATGTTCAGAAGACAGGATGGTATTCTTATATAAGACACAAAAAGCTAAAGTCATAAGGAAAAAACTCTCAGCACACTGGGAATATAGGGGAATATCTTCAACTGAAGGAAGAACACTTGCAAAACCCTACAGCCATCATCTCACTTAATGGTAAGAAACTGGATGCTTTCCCCCAGAGATCAAAAATAAGGCACGATGTCCTCTCTCACCACCCCTCTCCACATCATACTGAAAATCCTAGTTAGTGCAGTAAGACAAGAAAAAGAAATTCAAATGTATACAAATTGGAAAGGAAGAAATAAAACTGTCTCTATTCATAGACATAATTGTAGAAATCACAAAGAATCTAAAACAAAACAAAACACAAAAACCAACTTCTGGGACTTCCAGATTGAACAACATGATCCATCAACTTGACTTAATTTACTTTATTGAATCTCTATGTAAAAATGACAGTACAAACATCCATTTTAAGTGTACACAGAACAGTCAGCATAGACCATATCCAGTGTCATAAAGTTTCAATAAATTTTAAAATATAGAAAGTTCAAAGGATACAAAGTGAATTACATAATCACTTGCTTTTCTATACATCAGCAATCGATAATTGGAATTTAAAATTTTAAATAGCATTGGCAATAGTACTAACAAAATCAAATACTTAGTAATAAACCCAACAAAATATACACAAGATCTATATCTACAAAACACTGATGAAATAAATCAAAGAAGATCTAAATAAAGAAATATATTAACAAATTAGAAGACTCAACATTGTTAAGATGTCAATTCTTCCCAACATGATCTATGGAGTCAATGCAATTCCACTCAAAATCTCATTAATTTATTTTCTAAATATTGAAAAACTGATTCTAAAGCTTGTGTAGACAGACAAAAGGCCTAGAATAACCAGCACAATGCTGAAGAAGAATAAAGTTGGAGGACTCACACTACCTTATTTCAGGACTTATTATAAAACTACAGTAATCAACACAGCATAGTATTAGTAAAAGAATAAATGCATAGATGAATGGAATAGAAGAAAGCCCAGAAAGAGTCACACACAAATATAGTCAATTGATCTTTGATACAGGCACAAGAGCAATTCAACAGATAAAATATAGTCTTTTCAACAAGTGGCATTGAAACAACTGGACATCGATATGCAAAAATATGAACCTAGACATAGATACTATGCTTTTCACAAAAATTAACTCGAAATCAATCAGAGACCTAAGTCTAAAATGCAAAGCTATAAAAATTCTAGAAGAAAATTGGCATAACCTTGGGTTTATTGATGAGTTTTTACATATACAACACTAAATGCATGATCCATTCAAAAAGTTTATAAGTTGGACTTTACCAAAATCATGAACTTTTGCTCTGCAAAAGATGCTGTTAGAAAAATAAAAAGACAAGCCACAGAGTGGAAGAAAGTACTTACAAAACGGATATCCAATACAGGACTTAAATTCAGCCACAAGAAAATGAACAATCCAAAATAAAAATGGCCAAAAGTTCTAAACAGACACCTTATCAAAGAAGTTATATAGAAGGCAAGATGGTAGATTTAAACCCATTCATACCAATAACTGTATTAAATATAAGTGGTCTAAACACTGCAATTAAAGGCAGAGATTATCAGTTTGGATAAAATAAGCAAAACTCAAACATAGCAGTACATAAGTGCTGTATACATGAGATGCAGTTTAAATTCAATACAGAGTTACAAGTAGATTAAAAATAAAAAGATAGGGAAAAGTATGCTAGGTAAAGACTAATCATAAAACAGCTGACACAATTATTTTAATATCACACATAGTAGACGTCAAAACCAGGAATATTACCTGAAAAAGGTAAATTGTATAATGACAAAAGAGTAAATGATTAAGAAGCCATAATAATATTAAATGTGACGACGACCAATTACAAAGCTTAAAAATACATAAAGCAAAAATAAGAAAATTGAAGGAATAGACAAAGCTGCAATGATAGTTGTACATTTCACCCATCCTTTCTCATAAAAAGAAATATTTCAATGTGAATGAATGAAAATACAATATATCAAAATATGTGGGATGCTGCCATGTAGTCAGAAATGTATGCTTTATTTAAAAATAGAAAAAGTCTAACATCAGTTATCTAGGTATCAACCTCAAGAAGTTAGAAGGAAAAAAAAGGAGTAATATAACATCAAAATCAAAAGAATGAAGGAAACAGTAAAGAGCTGAAATCAGTGAAATTGAAAGTGGACAAATAATAGGAAAAAAATCCATGAAATAAAAAACTGGTTGATTGATAAACTTCTAAATAGACTGATTACGAAAAAAAACTGAAGAGACAACACACAGATGATCAATATCAAGAATAAAGAGGGCTCATTACTATAGTTCCTACAAATAGTAAAAAAATTAATAAAGTAATATTATAAACAACTTTATGCCAATAAATGTGGCAATTTAGATGAACAAATTCCTTGTGAGACACAAATTACTAAACCTAGGAGAAATCGAATCTACATATATATGTGAGAAATTGAATTTTGTAATTTTAAAATTTTCTCACAAAGAAATTACTCATGCCAGATGGTTCCACCAGTAAAGTCTATCAAATTGAAATAAAAACACCAATCTCTTTCAGAAATACAGTAGGAGGAAACTCTTCCCTACTCATTTTATGACAAGAGGAGATGAGAGAAGAAAACGATAGACTGATATTCCTCATGCAGTTAGGTCTAAACATCTTCTTTAAAATACCACCAATAATAGCAAGGAAAATATAAAAAAAATACATCATGACCAATGGAGTTGATTCCAGAAATACAAGGTTGCTTTCCCCCTTACATTAGTAACAAGGCAAAATTGTATTTGTCCTCATTGCTTCTATTCAACTTTGAAATGGAGACTTCAGGTGGTCCCAGTGGTCCCTCAGGAGGTTCTGAAGCTGGGATGGTCCTTAGAGATGTTCAGCATTAATCTGTGGGGCTGGGCTGTTTTATCCCCACATCTTCTGGTCATTAAATCAGGACTGTCACTGGGCTAAGAAGATAGCGTTTGGCCAGCTCCCAGCAGCAGTTAACCTCCTGACAGGTAGAAAATGGGAGGGTCTTCAGCACTCGCAGCATCATTACAGGCAGACTTTACAAAAGCTGGATGCGTGTGCCCTATGACCTTGCACTTTTGCCCTGTGCACACCAAAAGGCATGTGCCAGAATGTTCCCAGCAGCTTTATTCATAATTGTTCAAACATGGAAATTACCCAGACACCTGTTGTTGTTGTTGTTATTGTTGTTGTTGTTGCTGTTGTTTGTTGTTGAGATGGCGTCTTGCTGCGACGCCCACACTGGAATGTGATGGCGCGATCTTGGCTCACGGCAACCTCCAATTCCCGGGTTCAAGCGATTCTCCTGCCTCAGGCTCCCAAAGTGCTGGGATTACAGGCATGTGCCACCACGCCCAGCTAATTTTTGTATTTTTAGTAGAGATGGGCTTTCACCATATTGGCCAGGCTGGTCTCGAACATCTGACCTCAAGTGATCTGTCCGCCTTTGTCTCCCAAAGTGCTGGGATTACAGGTGTAAGCCACCGAGTCCATCCTACCCAAACATTTTTAACAATCAAATGGATTCATATGAAAGTAGTAGATGCATACATTGAAATACTAAATAGAAATGGGAAATAAACAATGACTGCTGCATGCAACGTTATAAATGAATCTCGCAACTTTACAATCAAGTGAACAAAAACAGAAACCAAAGAGTACATGGTGTGCGACTTCATCGTATAAAGTTCAGAACAACACAAAGTTACTCAGAAATCTGCACGGTGCTTATCTTGGGAGTGTGGCAGATGCTAGAATGGTCAGGAAGTAGGGCAAGTTGTATTCCAATTCTTGATCTGGGGTTACACGGGTGTAACAATTCATGGAGCTCTATATTTACGATTTGTGCATTTTTATGAATGTATATAACTCCATTTTAAACTTTTTACTTTAAAAAAAAAAAAAAAAAAAAGGAAGGTACAGATGGGAAAAGATATTTGCAAAGCATATAACCGAAAATGGGGATTCCTATCAGGAATACATAAGGAAACCCTGAGAATCAACAAGCAAAAAAAAAAATCCGACTAAAACATAAAAGGGGCCAGGTGTGGTGGCTCATGCCTGTAATCCCAGCACTTTGGGAGGTCCACAGTGGAAGGATCTCTTGAGCTCAGGAGTTCGGGACCAGCCTGGGCAACATGACAAAACCGTGTCTCTACAAAAAAAAAAAAAAAAAAAAATTAGCCAGTCATGGTGGCATGCACCTGTCGTCCCAGCTGCTCGGGAGGCTGAGGAGGCAGGATTGCTGGAACCCAGGAGGCGGAGGTTACAGTGAGCTGTGATCCCACCACTGCACTCCAGCCTGAACGACAGAGCAAGACCCTGTCTCAAAAATAAAAATAAAAGGCAAAAGATATCAACAGACCATTCATAAGAGAAAAAAAATACAAAGCCAGGAAACATAAAAAGATGTTCAATATAGCTACTAAATAAGAAACTACAAATCAAAGCAGTATGAAATGTCATTTCATAGCCATCAAATGGAAAACATTTAGAAGACTAACAATCTCAACGTAAGTGCAGATACAGAGCACAGGGACTTCTTATCCCTGGAGATTTGAAGGGGAATTTGGTACAATACCTCTGGAAAGAAAATATTTGCTCTTTGATCCAGCAGTTCCACATGTAAGAAAGTAATAAGAAACTTTTGCAGAAGTTCCATAGGGAAAATGGCACAAGAAAGTTCATTGCATTATTCGTAATAGAAAAAAATACATACAGCATGTCATCAATAAAATAAATTTTGAAAACATGCAAAAAGATGGATTCACACGTGGGATGTTAAGTGTCATTTTTGAATGCCACAAAATTGAATTTTGTAATTTTAAGGTAGACACAAAATTGGAGCTGATGGTTACCTCTGGGTGAAAAACAGGGAAGAGAAAGGGTCGTGGAAGGGTATTCTAGGAGCTTTGATGGGATGTGTGTTGTTTTGTTTCTTAACAAAATAGAAAGCAAGTGTGACAAAATGTTAGCACTCAAGAGAGTTGGGTGGGGAATGTGTTGTGTGTTATAAACTTTTCTGTGTATTTGAAATATTTTATATTTTAGGGAAACCATTCAAAGGTATGCCTCTTAATCTCATGACTTTCTTTCTCTCTCCAGGAGAGTGATACTCACCAGCCCCACCCTCATTGCCAGGGGACGTTGCACGCTGCGCCTGTCATGCCTCACGCTTGTGCTGTACGTGCCCAGGCCTCTGTAAATGGAGAGAATGGGGTGAGCTGACAGTTCTTCAGGCTCTGTCCAGCAGAAGATATTATGCAATGTCTTCTCATCTCTTCTTGAAATGGGCTACCTCCCACTGACCACTAGGTGGGACATCAGCTTGCCAGTTACCCAATAAATGCACTGTCTATAGAATTCTTGAAAAAGCCTCTGTTTCTGAGAGGGGCCCATGCTCAGAAGACTGTCCATGGACCAGCCTAGTGGTGCACTTCCTGAGTCTGGGAGCAGCACCTCTTTGAACTCCTGCTGAGGACACCGATTTGGGAGTGTAGTGAGTAGCATGCTTCTAATTTACATAAATGTAAACAGGGATTCAATGAACTGGACTTTTCTTTGTTCATAATTGTTTTTTTTCTGGCTAACTATGGGTTGGGAGAAGGAAGAGAAGAAATGGAAAATACCATTTATTTGGGGTCTGTTATGGGCCAGGAAGTAAATTACAGCTTTATCTCATGTAACGCTCATGTCTATCCTTTGGGAGGGACGTCATTTCCCAGTTACAAATGAGGAAGCGGCAGCTCAAACATGTCAGATGCCTCGCCCAACGTCCAGTGAGCAAGCAGCAGACAAAAGGTTTGAACCATCTCTTTCTGCCAACAAAGTCTAGTTTCCACCATGCTCCCTCTCCAGAAAACCTTTGGAGTGAACCTCTGAGAGAGAGGCAGAGAGAGAGCGAGAAAATATTTTGTATAATTTAAACACTTTTAGGTACAGCCATAATAGAAACAGATAGGAAAACAGATAAAAGACCAATCATTTCCTGGTCTTGGTCGTGCCTGTGCCAAAATAACAGAAAAAAATAAAATAAAAATCACTCTACCTTATTCTTTCTTATTCTTTCCACAAAACATGTTTAGTTTGTTTTTGTTTTTGTTTTTGTTTTTGAGACGGAGTCTCGCTCTGTCACCCAGGCTGGAGTGCAGTGGCGCAATCTCAGTTCACTGCAAGCTCCACCTCCCGGATTCAAGCAATTCCCCTGCCTCAGCCTCCCTAGTAGCTGGGACTACAAGTGTGCACCACCGCACCTAGCTAATTTTTGTATTTTTAGTAGAGACGGGGTTTCACCATGTTAGCCAGGATGGTCTTGATCTCTTGACCTCGTGATCTGCCTGCCTCGGCCTCCCAGAGTGCTGGGATTACAGGCATGAGCCACTGCACCCAGCCCAGACATTTATTTTCTCACAGTTCTGGAGGCTGGAAGTCCGAGATCAAGGTGCCTGTAGTGGAGGTTTCATTCTGAAGCCCTCTCCTTGGCTTGCAGATGGTGTCTTCTCCTGTGTCTACACAGGGTCTTCCTTTTGTGCTTGTCTGTGTCCTAATCTCTCTTTACAAAGATGCCAGTCAGTTTAAATTAGAACCCATCCCTGTGACTTCATTTAACCTCAGTCACCTCCTTAAAAGCCCTATCTCCCAATCCAGTCACATTCTGAGGTACTGGGGGTTAGAACTTCAACAGATGACTTTTGGGGGACACAATTCAGCCCCTGACAGAGAAAATTCAAGGTGTCAAAGAACCAAATCAGGGTTTTGGGGGTCTTTGCAAACAGCCATAGATGGTGTGTATGACCTTGTCTAGCCACCAAACTGGGAGAGAACCATCCTTTCCAGAAATATCTCAGTTGACTGGCACCAGAGGTGGATAATTAGTAAAACTCTTTTTTAATTTTATAGCCTTTTGAACATAATTATCACAAGGATTCAATATGTGAATTGTGATAGGATTCACCCTATGGGGAGATTATAGGGTATAATAGTTTAATCTCCTCAAATTTCCCTATAAAAACAGACTGAATAACTAGCATAACAAAATCAAAGGCTTTGTACTTCTACAACAAAATCAATGACCAGGGATCCCAAAGAATCTCACAGTAAGAGTGTGTGGCACAAACCACCAACAGCTGCAGGACCCACGTGGTATGAGGATCTGGGTAAGGGGAAACAACTGGCAAGTCGGGGAAGTCAACTGGGATTCCAACAGTCCAGAGGGCAGGAAAACACAACACTGCTGACCTGTGTTCACTGAAAGCACAGAGCTCCAATCCAAGAGTGGCAGGCTGAGAGATGGCTCCACCGGGTTCAGTTTCTGGGTGGGTAAAGGAGACCACAATACTATTCTGACCACAGTGAAGCAGCCTGTAAGTCTTCAAAGCTACCAAACAAAATGTTCAGACAAGAGAAATGACTCAGAAGAAAATGGGGAATGGGAGCAGAATGTCAGATCTCAGAAAACACAAGGCAGTATTTTTGAAATCATTTTATAAAAACAACAGAAGAGGGAATGTAGACCCATGAAGTTTGAAAACTTATCTTGACCTATACCTCATCCTATGAACAAAGAAAAACTTGTTTCACTTTATAAAAGCAATAAAATGGATGATAGCCAAATCTAATATAGTTATTATAAGAGAAAGCAGAATAATAACATATTAATAACAACAATAATATTGGCCCTACAATGAAAATACAACAGACAGGTATACATACAATGAAGATGAAAATGTAACCTAATATTTGAAATGAGGTAAAAAGAATTAGGAAAATGATAGATATCATTAAAGTATATTAAAGTATCATTTAAATCCTAACTAGAAACATTAGAAATATAAGATTTGAAAGACAAATGAAGATGATAGAACACGAAACAGAATTAGAAGTACAAAAGAAATTTTTCAGAAATGAAAACTAAATTAGAAGGGACATCAGAGCCAATAAATAAAACAAATAATGCCTTAAAAGAATGTAAAATGAAAAAATGAAAAAAAAAAAAAAAGGAGATTTTACAAAATTAAAAAGATGTTAAGTGTTTCAACTTCTGGTTAGGATGTAAAAGATCACAAAAGACGACCACTCCAGCAGAGCAAAGATAAAGCACTGGTAAGCTACTAAATCGTCTTTTTCTTTAAAACCATTTAAAACGTATAGATTCAAAAGCCAAATAAACTAAATTCCAGAGATGGATGAGCTCATGTCAGTTGAGCAAACCTGGTCCTTTCGAGTCCTGTGGTAAGTTGTCAAGCATGGAGTCATAGATGGACAGAAAATCAAGTTTGCTACAGGCAAATAAAATTTGGGGGAATAAGGAGAAACTAACCGGAAATTTCACAGCTGGTGTTAGACTTGAACCTGGAGGAATCCCAAATACAGCACTGGACATCTCTGTCTGTCTTCCAACTCTCTCCCATAGAAATTTATTGAATAAATGGTGTCCAAGAAGTCAGGAGATGACACAGAAAAGCAGAGAGAAATGTTGTGGTGTCATGGTGCTTAGATTTCATAGCCTTGCTGGAGAGAGGGTGATCTCACACTCAAGCTATTTGAAACCAGAGGTGAACTAAATCAACTAGAGTGGCAACCTCAACTCTAATTCAGCTCAACTAATTATTAGATTAAAGAGCTCAGATCCTAATCCAAGATACCTGACACACAAAAGGGCAAGCACTTCCTAGAAAAAATAAGTACTTCTTTCAGTCTCCACTGCTATGCTATACATAAACTGCAGCATTCAATTAAAAAAAACTACAAGCTGGCTGGGTGTGGTGGCACACGCCTGTAATCCTAGCACTTTGGGAGGCCAAGGGAGGCGGATCACAAGGTCAAGAGATCAAGACCATCCTGGCCAGTATGGTGAAACCCTATCTCTACTAAAAATACAAAAATTAACTGGGCATTGTGGACCATGCCTATAGTCCCAGTTACTCTGGAGGCTGAGGCAGGAGAATCATTTGAACCTGGCAGGCAGAGGTTGCAGTGAGCCAAGATTGTGCCACTGCACTCCAGCCTGGTGACAGCAAGAGTCCATAAAAAAAAAAAAAAAAAAAAAAACTACAAGCCATGCATATAAACTGGGAAGTATGACCCATAATCAAAAGAAAAAGCAGTCAGTAGAAACAGGCCCACAGATGACCCACAGTTGGCTTTTAACAAATAAAGATTTTAAACTAATTAATATATATGCTGACATTTTTAGAGGGAAATATGGGCAAAATGGAAATATAAAGAACTTCAGCAAAGAAATTAAAACCCCAAAAAAGAACCAAATGGAAATTGTAGAACTAAAAAATACAATACCAAGGTAGAGAATTCAGTGGGTGGACTTAATAGCAGAATGAACAAAATAAAGCTTTGGTAAACTTGAAATTCTCAGTAGAAATTCTCTAAATTGAAGCATAGAAAGAAAAAAGTATTTTTAAAAAGCAGAGGGTGAGAGAAATGTAAAGTAATACCAAATGGTCTAATACACATGTAATTGAATTGTCCCAGAGAAAAAGAGAGACAAAATAGGTCAGAATAAACATTTGCAGTGATGCTAGCTGAAATTTTTTTTCCAAAACTGATGAATGACATCAATACACAGATTCCAGAATTAGACCACTGTCTCCATCCACTTCAATTTCCCTCTATCACACTTCCCCTCATGACTGGTGGAACTGGAGTGGCTGCAGTGATTTTTGTGATCTGGCTCAGGGATGGGGTTTAGTTTGGGTTTAACAGGATAAATGTATATGCTTCACAATTACTTCCACATAAACTTATCACTAGCTAGTCTAGTGTAGAAATGACCTCTAGGAATACTCTTCCTACACACTCTTCCAATTCACCCAGCTTGGCGACACAAATATCACAATATATGGGCATTGAGCATCTCATTTCTTTAACTCATGGGAAAAAAATCTGCCTACACAAGACCAAAAGTTTTAACTACCCTGATATTCTGCAATAGTTATATGTGGGGAGGTGAACGGAGGGCAGTTCAGGTTAATTGATGGAGTATTTTAAGCACATATATCAACTGGATTTTTCTTTGATGGGTCTAATTATAGAGATGTCCTTATAAACCTCTCCAACCTTTGAAACATGGTTATAATAGTATTATGAGGATTCTAGTATATGTTTTTACAGATTCAAGAGAGGGCCAGGTGTGGTGATGCATGTCTGTAATCTCAACATTTTGGGGGGCCTAGGTAGGAAGACCACTTGAAGCCAAGCATTCAGGACCAGCCTGGGCAACATAGCAAGAGCCTATCTCTACAAAATAAATAAATAAATAAATAGCCAGGTAGAGCGGCCCATGCCTGTGGTCTCACCTACTCAGGAGGCTGAGGAAAGGCAACCACTTGAGCCCAGGAGTTCAAAGCTACAGTAAACTATGATTGCACCACTGCACTCCAGCCTGCATGACAGAGTGAGAGAGAAACCCAAACACAACAGGAATGCCAAAAAAAAGTACTAGAAATGTTGATGAAGCTTGAATATGTTAATTTAACTGTGATTTGAAAAGATGTTTCGGAATGTTTCAATAAAACAAGGGAGAAATTACAGACTCTTTATGTAGACATGCATAAAAAGTACCTTTTTTGAAAGTTTAAAATTTGTTAAAAGGCTAAAAGAAAATAATAGAATATTTTAAAAGCTATAATGATGAATAATTAAACAACAGAAATTATTTCTATATTGAAGAAGGAACTTTAATAACAAAAAAGTTTACACCAAAATCAGTAAATCATTAACAGGAAGATAAATTTCTAATAGAAATAATAGTTTCTTGAATGATTTGATATCCTATTAATAATAAGAAGTGGGCTAGGCACAGTGGTTCACTCCTGTAATCCCAGCACTTTAGGAGGCTAAGGCAAGAGGATTGCTGAGCCCAGGAGTTTGAGACCAGCCTGGCCAACATAGTGAGACCGCTGTCTCTACAAAAAATCAAAAAAGCAGCTGGGTATGGTGGTACTCACCTGTAGTCCCAGCTACATGGGAGGCTGAAGTGGAAGGATTGCTTGAGCCTGGGTAGTTGAAGCCACAGTGAGCCACGTTCACACCACTGTACTCCAACCTAGGCAACAGCACAAGACTCTATCTTAAAAAAAAAAAAAAAAAAAAAAAAGGGAATCATAGGAACACATTGAAATAAGATTCCAATTCCTTGCTTTTGTGGCACTGAATACTGACACTGATTATGAAAAACTCATAATATGGGCATTGGTGACCATCTGGATAATGAGGAAATGTCAGTTCAAAGACTACTTAAGCATAGTCAAGACAACTGAAATGCCTTGAACTCTTAAAGCCCATGTGTGAAAGAAACTTGACAGAGGTCTTCCCAATTTTAACAACAATTCTAAAACTTTGCATGACATCATTACCAATAATGAGTTGTGAGGCTAAAATAAATAAATAAATAATGTCTCACCTGTTAATAATAAATAAATGTTGATCCCAGATGCCAGAGGAAAGACCAGATTACCAATCCATTCTCTTTTTTAGAAAATTTTAAAAATTTTGTCAAATGAAGAGGAGAGCAAAGAATAGGTGCCTCCCACCAAAAAAATATAGTTAGTTAATATGAATAAAATACTAGGTTACTTTTCTGGATCTTTTTACGTGTGTGTTATTAAATTTATAATTGATGGTGATTGGTTTCTCTTCCAAATAAATAATAACTTTTATAACTAACTCCATATTCATAATTTCATATTATTAAAGTGGACCCCCAGAGTCATACGTTTTGGACCCCATGAACCTAAATACACCTGCATGCAAAGTCCTGGACCTGTTTCAATGGCATCAGTCACAGTTCCTGGTGACAGTGAGGTGGAGGTGGTGTCAACACAGGCCCTCAAAGGTCTTCAAATAAACTAACAACGTCTCTTAAATTTTATTAGCTTTTTTTGTTTGTATGCTTTGTCTTTTTTCCCTAAAAGTGTGGTTCGAAGGGAAGAATTTTTTCAATTTTCTCAAGTTTTTCTCTCTGGTTTCACTGTTACTCATGAAAGCCAGAGGGTAGGGCTTTGGGCAATATGGTGTCCAATAATCAGAAAAAAATTTAAATACAAATGTAGGACCACAGGATTAAAACTAACAGGAATGGTGTAAAATAATAGAGAAAATGTGAGTTGTGCTATGGTAAATGCGAGAAAATGTGACGGGTATCAAAGGGTAATGGGGGGGGGGCAGAGGGGAGGAGATGTCATGAGGCAGGGACAGCTGGGGACACCCAGACCCTGGCAGAACAGCAGAGCTGCCACGCTGCCATGCGGTCACTCCTGGAATCATTTATTTTTAATGATTTGCATGAATAAAGAAAACAGCAAAACCATCTGTTTTGACAGCTGGGCCCATGCACCAGAAGACTTCTTGTGGAGATAAGGAAACCTGGCCTAATCCTAGGAGACCAGAGGATGCCTGGGTCAGCCGTGGTGACAACGAGGCTCTACAAAGGGTGGACTCTGTGCCTTACGCTTTGCTAGGGCTTGATCATATTTCATCAAATGTAACCCTTCCACAGACCTCAGAGGTAGGCATTACTGTCAACCCCACACAAGGAAACAAAGGCCCTGAGAAATGCAGGCAATGCAAGAGCTGGTGGCGAACTCCCACCCTGTGTTCCTTCTTCCCAGTGAATGCGCTGGGTGAAGCCTGGCGTCTGCAGACATCTTCCATGTTCTTCTGGATGGATCCCACATTTCCTCAGGGGCTGATGAAAGCAGCTACGTGACCAAAAGACTAAAAGGAAGTGGCCTGGAGAGTGGAAAGGTAACGCCACCAGAGTGAGAAGACAAGGATTCGAGGCTCTGATGGGCTTCTGGCCAGCTTGGGCCTAATTTTCACCCCCTAAATTTCTCTTTCCCTGGGAGTAAAACAAGAACGACAACAGGCTGTACCGATGCGGCCCAAATAATAAACAAGAACGACAACAGGCCGAACCAATGTGGCCCAAACAATGAGCAAGAATGACAACAGGCTGCACCGATGCGGCCCAAACAATGAGCAAGAAGGACAATGGGCCGCACCCATGCGGCCCAAACAATGAGCAAGAAGGACAATGGGCCGCACCCATGCGGCCCAAACAATGAGCAAGAAGGACAATGGGCCGCATCCATGCGGCCCAAACAATGAGCTGGGCCTGCTCTCAGTGCTTTCCAGACACTCTCTTACTCTTCACCCCCAGAACCTCGTCACTGTCCCTACTGCAGATGGGGACACTGAATGGAGAGTTTCAGTCACTAGCCCCAGGTCAGAATTTGAGCCCAGGCAGGGCAGCTCCAGTCTGCACCCCTAGCAACTAGCCACTGAGCACCGATCTGCCTTAGGCATCTGCAGGGGTCCTGCTGGACCACCAAGGACCCTTAGTGCTCTGGTTCTCCAAGTGGGGTCCTTGAGCCAGCAACACCCGGGAACTTGTTAGAAATGCAAATTCCCAGGCTTCATCACAGGCAATTAGATCAGGCACTTCGAGTGCCTGGGGACGGGACCCAGCCGTCTGTGAACGCGTCCACCAGAGAAATCTGAAGCTTGCTCAAGTTTGAGCGCCACTGTTCCAAACGTTCTCTAAGGTTCTTTGCAGAGCTGAGCTAAGAAGGAGGCAGGGCCAGAAATGCAGGATATGACAAAGGTGAAGCAAGGGGGACTCAGGGCCATGGGGACCTGTTTCTTAGTAGAATGCCTGGATGTGAAGAAGGGCTTGGGAATTAAGTCCAGTGTTCTAGAAATGCAATAGTTACTACAGAGGGGCAAAGACCAAGAGGGGTCTGAAAGCGTGCAGGTGAGTTGAACCAAGACGGGATCTAGTGAACGGTGAGCAAGGAGTTTTGCAAATCTGGATGGAAGCAAAATAAATGCAAGTTTCAAGTGAATGGTGAAATTGGCTCTGGCTGAAAATGATGGAAAATTGTCGAAATAAACTTTTCAGAACTCTGGAAATTAACTACAGCTTGCAACAATTCCTGGAGATTTATTCAAGAAAAATGACTGAATCTCAGAGAGAACTGCGAACTGCGCAGCATTTTACCTTGCCCTGTTGCCATCTCCTTCTTCCCAGCTCCACGGTAGCTGTAAACGCAGAAAGCTGGCAGCCGCTGGACAGGGAAACCAGGGAGTGAAACTCCCTGAAAGACCTACTCTTAGAGATCATCCTTGTCTAACCTGTCTGGAAGTTCCCAGAAACTCCCCATAGTCATCTGTGACAAAGAACATAGACTTTACACCCTTTATCCAGGGAAGTTATTTAACAAACAGCAGAAACAACAAAGCCTGGGGAGATGTGATTTCCAGAGTAACCACATTATGTTATTTCATATGTCCAGTCTTCAACAGCAAAAACAAGGAGACATAAAAAGATTCATGAAGGCCGGGCGCGGTGGCTCAAGCCTGTAATCCCAGCACTTTGGGAGGCCGAGACGGGCGGATCACGAGGTCAGGAGATTGAGACCATCCTGGCTAACACGGTGAAACCCCGTCTCTACTAAAAAATACAAAAAACTAGCCGGGCGCGGTGGCGGGCGCCTGTAGTCCCAACTACTCGGGAGGCTGAGGCAGGAGAATGGCGTGAACCCGGGAGGCGGAGCTTGCAGTGAGCTGAGATCCGGCCACTGCACTCCAGCCTGGGCACAGAGCAAGACTCCGTCTCAAAAAAAAAAAAAAAAAAAAAAGATTCATGAAATATGGCCCATACATGGGGGGAAAAAGACAGATAGAAACTGTCCCTGAGGAGGCCCACATGTTGAACTGACTATATAAAGACGTCAAGTCAGTGATTACAAATACCGTATGGTCAGCCCTCCTAGCCACATTCCCGCATTGCAATTTTCAATCCATGATCGGTTGAATCCACAGACACAGAAGGTCAACTATCGGACTTAGAACATCTACAGATTTGAGTATCCCCAGGGGTCCTGGAACCAATCCCCCACAGATACCAAAGGACAACTGTACGTTCAAAGAATTAAAGAAAGCCCAATCTAAAGAAATAAAGGAAAGTACGAGACCCATGTCTCACCAAATACAGAACATGAATAAAGAGACAGAAATTAAGAAATTATCAAAATATGTATCTATAAATTCTGGAGCTGAAAAGTACAGTAACCATAATGAAAAAATCACCAGTGGCTCAACAGCAGATTTGAAGGTAGGTCCACTGAGATTATCCAGGTTGAAGAAGGGAAGCTGTCTTGGTCAGTTCCAGCTGCTAGAACAGAATGCCACAGACAGGGTGGCTTCAACAATAACTCTGTATTTCTCACTGTTCTGGAGGCTCAAAGTCTGAGGTCAGGATGGCAGCATGATCCTTTCCTAGCTTCGGTCCCAAGCTTGTGGATAGCTGCTTCCTTGCCATATCCTTACATGGCAGAGAGCACTCTGGTCCCTTCATCTCCTTATAAGAGCACCAGTCCCTTCACGGGCTCCACCTCGAGACTTCATTCAGACCCAATTACCTCCCAAAGACCCCGCCTCCAAATGCCACCACATTAGGGATTGGGGTTTCAACACATGAATTTGGGGGTTGGGTCACAAACATTCAGTCCATAACAGAATGGGAAAAAAGGATTTATTTTTAATGATTTATTGGCCAGTGACTCCTACCTTTAATCCCAGCACTTTAGAAGACCGAGGAGGGAGGATTGCTTGACCCCAAGAGTTTGAGACCAACCTAGACAACAAAGCAAGACTTCATCTCTACAAAAAATAATTAGCTGAGCATGGTGGTGTGCAACTGTGGTCCCAGTTACTCAGGAGACTGAGGTGGGAGGATCACTTGATCCCAAGAGTTTGAGGCTGCAGTGAACCATGATTGCACCACTGCACTCCAGCCTGGGCAACAGAGCAAGACCCTGTCTCTAAATAAATAAATAAACAAACAAAGTTCCAGAGATCTGTGGGACACCATTGAGTGTCCCAAGATATTCACAATGGAAGTCCAAAAAGGTGTTTTCTGCCACAAGACCTTTGCACCAACCGTCTGCCAGAGCCATTCTACCCTTATATATCAACAGGGCTCACTCTGTTTCCTCTCCCAGGTCTCTCTCGATTCAAATATCACCTACCCACTGAGGCCTTCCCTGATCTCCCCATGTAAAAAGCAACTCCCTGCCTCCTCTCACCACAAGCACCTCCAATCCTGCTGCACTGCTTTGTTTACCTGTGTAGCTGCTCTTCATCTGATATTCTGTGTCTTCATTTGTTTCTTTGGTTGTGGTCTCCTCCCACTCCTAGGGGTAGGTTCTAGGAAGGATAAGAGGTCACTGTGAGTCACTGTCACACCCTAGCTACCAGCACAGTCTTGGCATGCTACAGATGCTCAACAAATACTTTTTGAATGAATGAATTCAATCAACCATAAAAATGTCTAAATGCGACCAGGCAGGGTGGCTCATGCCTGTAATCCCAGCACTTTGGGAGGCTGCGTCAGGCAGATCACTTGAGCCCAGAAGTTCAAGACCAGCCTGGGCAATATGGAGAAACCCTGTCTCTACAAAAAATACAATAATAAGCTGGGTGTGGTGGTGTGTGCCTGTAGTCCCAGCTACTTGGGAGGCTGAGGCAGGAAGACTGCTTGAGGCCGGAGGTCAAGGCTGTAGTGAGTTGTGATCATGCCACTGCACTCCAGCCTGGGTGACAGAACAAGACCTTATATCAAAAAGAAAAAAAAAAAAAAACGTCTAAATGCTTTCATCCAGAAAATTCACTCCTGGGAGATTAAGCAAATAATTCAAGAGAAGAGAGAAGTTATATGAATGCAAATGTTCATTGTCACAGAGTTGTGTTTGTCAAACTTCATTTTACCAAAGGCATAGGGAAGGCTCATAAGGAAAAATCAGCATAGGGAGTTGGGTTTTCAGGAAATGTTCCTGAGAAGAGGGAGTTTTGAACAGAATCTTAGAGGAAATGGCAAATTTGGTTTGGCAGAAGAAAGATACAAGCCAAAGTCCCAGGAAGAAGAATGGGTCCTCACAAATGAAACCTGAAGGGCACCAATCACCTGAATCCGTGGGACCCTCAGAGGGAGTACAGTTAGGGGCTCAGAGCAAAGCTGGTGATGAAGTGAGAGGCGCGGTCAAAAAACCCACCTGAAATTCAGTATAAACACAACTGAGCTCTTCTCAGTAAACATTGGAGAACCTCAAAATACTGGAAAGGTAATGTTTGCATCTTACAGAAACTGTTTTAAAATACCTGCAAACGTGCAAAATATCTGAGATTTGCTCTTCCAGATCAGGAACGTTATTCTACCGCTCCTGGCAGATCCTGTCAAACAGACGCCCACGGAGTCTCTAACACAGAACCAGCTCAGATCGGCAAGGGCAGGACCTCTCTGTCTGGCGAACACTTCCATGCCTATTAAGGATCCTGTATCAGATCATTCGGGAGCTGTCAGTGTGTTTGCAACTCTGTCAGAAAAGATTTGAGAGTAATTTCAACAGGAAGAATGAGAAGCAATTCCTCTTCGTGTGAAGAGTCCTCAGACAGGAAAACTCTTCAGGCAAAAATATTTGAGAACATGACAATAACGACAATGACAATGACAACAGTCTTGGGGCATAAATGGATCAAAGGACATTTATGGGGTTTCTCTCTTAAGCGATGGGCAAGTTATTTAGGCACAGGTAAGCTGAGTGACAGTCATGGGAAATTGTAAGCACTAACTTGCTTGTTTGGCAAACCTTTATGGAGACCTGTATCACATCAGGCACAGCTTTGATCCCAAGGCTGTGTGGTCCTGGTGTCTCACCACACCCTCAAGGCCCTGCTGGGAGGCAGGAGGTGTGAGAGTCGGTTCTAAAATATCTTCTTCTCCTTCTCAGACCTCAAAAGCACTCCTTTCCCCCTCCCCCACCACTACACTTGTGGCAAAGTCTCTTCAGTAAGTTCAGACTCACGCAAGGCTGGAGGAAGGGTGGTCTTCAACCAGTTTCTTGAAGCAAGGACATGTGAAGAGTACAGCTATCTGCTCAGAATGGGCACAGGGAGGAGACAGAAAAAAGAGAACAAAACACAAATAAACTAGTCCATCTCATTAGTATCACAGGAAACTACAAGCCGTTAGCAGTGTCTGAACAGCAGAAAAGAAAATGATCGAAAAGAATGCTGTCATCGGTTGAGCATGGTGGCTCACATCTGTAATCCTAGCACTTTGGGAAGCCGGAGTGGGTGGAATGCTTGAGCTCAGGAGTTCAAGACCAGCCTGGGGAACACGGTGAAACCCCGTCTCTACTAAAATACAAAAAATTAGCTGGGAGTGGCAGCGTGCACCTGTAATCCCAGCTACTCGGGAGGCTGAGGCAGGAGAATCACTTGAACCTGGGAGGTGGAGGTTGCCGTGAGCCGAGATCATGCCATTGCCCTCCAGCCTGGATGACAGAGCAAGACTCTGTCTCAAAAAAAAAAGGCTGTCATCAAATTATGCTTCTGACCTTGATGGAGAACCAGAGGAGCCCTTCTGCTGCAAAAATATAAAATTTAAAAAATTACTGGACGAAATACATCAAAAGCCTGTTTTCATACAATTGGATGTGAACAGGAGCTTCAGAGTGTAAACTAAAACTAAATTCCTAGGTGCCCCCCACAAATTAAATGAGCCCTCTCTGGGCCAAAGGGACCCCTGAAAAACCTTAAAAATTGAGTTCCCAGCCAGGACAAGATGGGCAGTCAGACATGCCTCGTTAACGCCTTCCATGTTGTGGTTTAGACACAGCTGATGAGCATTAATGCTAAAATAGAGCTCATAAAACTGACAACAGATTCTGTGACAATAAGATATCAAACTATAAATAAGACCTATGGCCACGCCAGGTGTCAGGTTCACGACTACGCCAAATTTCACGCTTGGGGTCAGGTTCCAGCCCATGCTGAGGTTCAAAGGGAGTGGGTAGATGAGCAGAAAGAACAGTCATGGGGCCATAGGCAGGTGAATATGGTTTTATTCAGCAGCAGCTTTCATCAACAGCTTTCTCACGCTGTCCGCCCTGTCTCAGCTGCTTAGTCTGGTGGCTCCCACCCACACAGCTGCGCAGCCAGCTCTCCCTTGCCTTCAAGGTTGGCAGCTTAACTCTGTCTCTCTCTGGGCACCAGTGAGCCAAGCTGTGTCCTGGCTCCCCTCTGTCCATCTGCAAAGATGGACAGCTGTGACTCTCTTTCTCTGGGTGCCAGCACCTGTACAGTGTCGGCAGGGCAATTATGCCTTTCACAGACAATAGTGGCTTAATACCAAGGGATGGCCTTCCCATGTTATGGCTCCATGGATGTGATAACAAGTGGAGTTATACGCCTGCGCTCTAAACTCGCTGAGTCACGCAGGATGTAAACATCCCACCTCAGCCTATCCTTGATCAAATCACAGCCATGTTCCTTACACCAAGGAATGGCTGAGTCACTCACCCTTATGCTTAAAGAATAAGCACAGGGTTATTCTAGCAGCCACAGGGTTCTTCTTTTTCTCTACCATCTAAATAAGCACTGGTCTCAGGATAAGCAATATTAAAACAATTTGCAGCTCATGCAGATAAGGCAGAGGGCCCAGCCATAACTACAGCTTTGATTGTACAAGATACTGATGTCAGTAACTTTCTCTAGATGAGACACCACCAATCCAACCATGAACTAGTCCTAGCCAGTTTACAGAGGCTGCATACTTGAGTGCTTTTGTGTCCTAAAAAGAACTTTTGACCTATAGGGCCTAATTGTAATACACTCAAATATTATTTTCCACCCCAAGTGAACATGGGTTGTATGTTACATGCATGTTTGTTCAATATGCATGTCAGGACCCCCTTCATGAATACTCATATCTCCTCTGATAACCTGTTGAATATGTACATTTGGTCAACATGTTCAACTTAAATTCCTGACTTACCCCTTTTTCCCCCAGAGAGCCTGTCTCTGGTCTTTGATGGAGGCTCTTCCCAGCCTACAGGATGGCCACCCTGCAGGCCGTAACCCCTTATAAGAAATAAAGTCCCCTCGGCAGGCGTGGGGGCTCATGCCTATAATCCTAGCACTGTGGGAGGCCAAGACAGGAGGACTGCTTGAGGCCAAGAGTTCAAGACCAACCTAGCCAACATAGTAAGACCCTGTTGGGGCAGGAGAATGGGGTTGAGAAGCAGGAAACCTAAGGCCAATTCATGTTGACTTCTAGAACTAAATCAAAACGAAAACCCCAACTTTTCACAACTAAGTAACAAAAGGACCAGAGGCAAACCCTCCTTGCCTTCCCATTTTCTACATCCAGTCAGACTGATTGCAGGTTAAGTCTTTGTTTGCACAGAAGTGTAAGTTTGTAACTTCACTTTAGCCTCTGATTGGTTGCTTTCCACAACCAATCAGACATTTGCATAGGGTATAACCTTTGCAACTTCACTTCAGCCTCTGCAATCAGACAGACTGCAGGCCACTACTTCATTTGCATGCGGTGTAGAGCAAGTGGCCAATGGGAAACCTCTAGAGGGCATTTAAACCCCAGAAAATTGTGTAACCAGGCTCTTGAGTCCCTATGCTCAGGTCTGATCCCATCTTGTGGAGTGTACTTTCGTTTTCAATAAATCTCTGCTTTTGTTGCTTCGTTCTTTCCTTGCTGTGTTTGTGGGTTTTGCCCAATTCTTTGTACAAGATGCCAAGAACCTGGACACCCTCCACCGGTAACACTGCCTCTATTTGGGGGAAAAAAAAAAAAAAAAAAAAAAAAAAAACGTGAAACCCTGTCTCTACTAAAATACAAAAATTAGCCAGGTATGGTGGCAGGTGCCTGTAATCCTAGCTACTTGGGAGGCTGAGGCACGAGAATCGCTGGAACCCAAGAGGCAGAGGTTGCAGTGGGCCGATATCATGCCACTGCACTCTAGCCTGGTTGACAGAGCAAGACTTTGTCAAAAAGAAAAGAAGAAAAGAAAAGAAAAAAAGAAAAGAAAAGGGAAGGAAGGAAGGTCTCCTCGTCCAAATTTATAGACTGTGTGATTTTTTTTTTTTTTTTTTTTTTTTTTTTTTTTTGGAGACGGAGTCTCGCTTTGTCGCCCAGGCTGGAGTGCAGTGGCCGGATCTCAGCTCACTGCAAGCTCCGCCTCCTGGGTTCACGCCATTCTCCTGCCTCAGCCTCCCGAGTAGCTGGGACTACAGGCGCCCGCCACCTCGCCCAGCTAGTTTTTTGTATTTTTTAGTAGAGACGGGGTTTCACCGTGTTAGACAGGATGGTGTCGATCTCCTGACCTCGTGATCCACCCGTCTCGGCCTCCCAAAGTGCTGGGATTACAGGCTTGAGCCACCGCGCCCGGCCAGATTGTGTGATTTTTAAGTTAACAAGAGACAACCTGGTTTTCAAAGCCTGACTGCCTGCAAGAATATCAGGATGAGGGGAGGACGCTGCGGACACGCATGGTCACATGGCCACTGACACTAACTCACTCAGGGCAGACAGATGTGGCAGAGAAAATCAAGTATTCAGCCTGAAATGCTGAGTTTCTGGTGAACAAAGAACAACCAGGTGATGCCAAGCAGTGACTGGGGATGTAAAAGTAAGGCGCAAGAAGGAAGAACACCACGCCTGGGTTTGGAAGTGCACTGGAATAAGCCTGTTGTGTAGCGTCTTCGTGCATAAACACTTTCCCTCTCCTCCACATTTATCTAGTCTCCTTTGCCTAAAAGACCATTTCAAACGGAGCCATTAGGAGCCAGCTCCTGGACTCCCACAAGCAAAGTAAATAGCTTTGGCACCCAGCATCCGACTATGCTAATTGAGGTCGAGTGGAAAGGCTGGGCTGGGAAAAAGCCTGAACTCCTGGGTGAGAATGACGTAGATTCAAATTTCAACTCTGCCACCTACCAGCTGTGCTTCCCGGAGTCATTCACAACCTCCTGAGCTTCAGAATCCTCTGGAGTGAAACAGAGATAAAACTCATCTCATAGGGTAATGAATTTCACAAACCAGTTCCCAACTGGAGGCACTCGGTGGTGGCAGCTGCGGCGTTTGCGCTGTAATTGTTGCTGGGCTCCCTTTCTCTCTCCCCCTCCTAGACTCAGCCCCGCTGAGCAGCCCCGGCTTCCACAGGCCCCCATGAGTCACACTGGTGCCTGGTGCTGCAGAGCTGGAGGGGGCTGTGGGGAAGGAAGCTCAGCTGGCCACCCCAGCAGGGCTCATGGAAATCCTGAGCATGACTCAGCTGTGACGATCTGAATTCACATTTGTGGTCTGTCAGACACACAGGAACGAGGCCAGCATCAGCCTGCCACCTTCTGCCAGGAAGAAGATAACCAATGCTAGCAACTGTGAGTCACCACAGAGGCTTCGCTGCAGATTCACCTCGGGAATGCACGGGGGTGAGGGGCTGTCCTGAGGTCCAGTAGACGTTTCCCGGGGGGACAGGCGTGAAAAGCAAGTTGGGACTGGGCTTAGATGTCGTGGAGAGGGGACATGGCCTCTGCAAGGATCTTCCCAGAAGGGTGCCCTCAAGGTACCACGACGGCACGGGCAGTAAGGACGTGGACTCTCGGGGCAAGCCTGCTTTCCTCCGGAGCAACTCCGGAGCTTTAGAGCATTCGCTGGAGGGCCTCATGCGGGACGGCTGCACTGCAAGTTGCTGAAGACCAGAGGACGCAGGGCGCGAAGCTCAGCAAGCAAAGGTTACCAGCTATCCCGAGAGACTGCAGCAAATACCGGAAAAGCGACCCTGGGCCCACGCCTGCGCGCTCGGAGGACGCCATGGCAACCGCAGCAGCACCGCCCCCGGGAGCCCGGGGCCCGGCGCCTAGGGCGTGGCCAGGGAGCTCCCAGTCAATCGACGCCGCGGACGCACGGTCACGTGGGCGCTGAGGACGCGGACGGTCACGTGGCCGTCGAGCCCGCCGGGCTCTCTCGCCTTGGGCCCTTCGGAAGCGTCTGCGGACCCCTGGAACCCTCGCGGCTGGGTCTTCTTGCGGGACAGGCCTAAGCCGGCTGCTCGCGGCCCCCGCCGCTGGCAGCCTGCAAGCGGCAGGCTTAGTCCCGCCGCGGCCCCCAGAGGGGGCTGCGTTCAGAGGCGTGCGTGGGGGCTTCCGAGCCTGCGATTTCCCGGCTTTTGAGCATCTTTGTCTCCACTCTCCACGTCGTCCTCTCAGGAAAACTTAAGGCCCGAGAAAACGTTCCAGCAGGAAGTCTGGGGAAATCGGATGGGAGTAGCGCAGGCCAGGAACGCGCCAGCTGCTCCCAGATACATGTCTCCTTCCTGCAACTACTCTGCGGGGTGGGCTTCCTGGTCCCCGCCTTAGAGATGAGAAAACAGGCTCAGAAGGCGCTGAAAACCTTCCCCGAGGCTGCACAGAGCCAGGCTTTTCCCACCAGGAAACCCCACTCGCTGCTTCTGAGTGACCAGCCTGGTGCCACACTTGGGGTGTGAGGGGAACGGCTCAGCTACGTTCAGTGCACTGTGCACTGGGCCGTGTCCCGGAGGAGCCAGCTGCCAAACCTAACCTCGTGTTTTCAGGACAAGACAGCCTGTCACCAGTGCCAGACAGAGTCCCCGGCCTTGGCACTGCCCTGGGCTCAGAGGAAGGAGGAGGCCTACAGTGGACTTCACCTGTAATGAGGCTACTCTGGCTACGACAGGGCCGCTTAAGCACAGAGCTGGCCAGGCGTGAAAAACGGGCTCCCTCACATGCACTTAAGTGAGCCAGCTAAGGAGATACCAAAATGGTCCCAACTCTTTTCATGTCAAATGAATGACGTTTCTCTCAGACCCAACAGCAAAAAAGAAAGCTGTCTTAGTATAGGCAAACTAATGGCCACTAATGGCAAACCCGGCCCTTCCTACCATTTAAACTCTCCCTGGAAATGCCTGAAATTCCACTTCAGCTGTTCTCTGAGATTCAGAATCATCTTTGTATTCACTGCTAGATGAAATGCACGTAACCTCTAAATTTACAATGGGAGAGGAGGTCAGTTAAAGCACTGGGCCCTAGGGAGAGGGAAGTGGAGATGGAAGAAAGGAAAGAAAGGCCCCCCTCCTGGAGAGACTCTAAGAGGGGCCACTGGATCCACTTGGCGCAAGTCACTGAGGAAGCTCTAAAATCTGGTTTGTCCCGTTCAGTACTCCCCAAGCCTTAGAAGGTTGATTTTCTGCCCCTTGTGGGGTTCTGTTCCAAAGACTGCGTGAACCCACTGAATGCCTACAGCCACACGTGACCACATTCACAGGGATATGAGCAAGGAACTCCAACATGCTCTTCTGGCCACGCTTCGCTCTGAGCGGCCCTGTCATCAACAGAGTAAAATTTCAAAACGAGGCTCTACCCTCCCAGGATTCACCAGAACCACTTCTATTTCCTTTTCCAGGAAGCAAAGCAAAACCACACTCAGAAAATAACGAGAAAGAGCCATAAGTCAAAGGAAAACAAGCCAATAATCCACTATCTATGGCTCCAAGGAATAGAGGAAGCACCCAAAGTGACATTATTGTTAAACATTATTATTAATACGGGAAAGCCGCTTCTACTTGGACCTGCTCCTGAGTCGTATCTCTTAATCTACGCAGACTCTTGCTGATTTCAAAGGAAAGCCCCAGGGTGGGAGCATGGACACTGCAGGAGGGCGCTGGTCATTAATGGTCTGAAAATGAGATCTGACCTTCCTTTCTCACCCTTCTAGAAAAAAGGGCAGATTCAGAAAGCAAAAGCCCCTCCATTAAGTTTTGAGAAATGTTATCATGAAAATGGAGCATATGTGCCAAAGGACATTAAATCCATCTTGGGTCGCCACCACTACCAGTACTGCCAAATGCTTGCTCAGGGAGTAACAGTACATAGATACCTGATCAGAATCACCTGATGTGATCCAGGAAAGGCAGAGTAAATCACTCCCTACAGTAAGTGACCTTGTCGATCCCCCACTAAAGACGTGGAAGAAAGAGTCGGCAGGCATCTGAGGAATCGTGGCCATCATTTCCAGCTACGTGGAGGGCCTATACACCAGAACTCCTGGACGGCCTTTTACATTTTGGTGTGAGCCATTGTTCCCTTTCCCTCTTGCCCTCAGCCCCAGGGGTGTGATACATTGTAGGGCTCACTGTCCATGAGTCTGAACATCAGCACCAACAGCGGGGGCAGCAGGGGAGAGAGGGCCTTCATGCAAGGAGAGCACGCCACATCCTCATGCCCAGCTTCTACACCTGTTACCCACTGTTCCCACCTTCAGGAAGCTGACTCTACCTGGTATTTCTACGAGATCTAAACGATAACATCAGGGATCCAGGCACAAGTTGTCAGGACACAGGAAGTAACCACACAATATTTGTGCAGCACTTTGCAGTCTACAAAGCACTTTGATATGATTTTCTCTAAGAATATCATTATATTCCCTAGGTTAAAGATTAGGGCTCTGAGGCACAGTGTTATTGGCTGAAATATGTTCTCCAAAACTTCATATGTTTAAGTCCTAACCCCCGGTACCTGATAATGTGACTGACTATATTTGCATAAAGGGTCTTTAAAAGGAAAAATGAAGCTGGCCGTGGTGGTGCACACCTGTAGTCCCAGCTACTTGGGAGGCTGAGGCAGGAGGATCACTTGAGCCCTGTAGTTCAAGACTGCTGTGAGCTGTGATCATGCCACTGCACTCCAGTCTGGGCGACAGAGCAAGACTCTGACTCTTAACAAATGAGAGTGAAATAAATGAGGTTAAATTAGGTCATAAAGATGGGTCCTAATCCAATATGACTAGTGTCATAAGAAGAGATTAGGACACAGACACACACAGAGAACACTATGTGAGAAGGCAGGGGAAAGATAGCCATCTACAAACTGAGGAGACAGTCCTTGGGAAAAGCTAACTCTGCCGACACCTTGATCTCAGACTTCTAGCTTCCAGAACTGTGAGAAAATTAATTTCTGTTGTTTGCCAGGCTGTTGTATGTTACAGCAGCCCTCGCAAACTTAATACACACAGGGTCATCAAACAAAACTTGCAGGATTATACCCCAATTAACTGATTGCAGAAACAGTGTTTTTATCCCTCCAGGCAGCATGTACCTTGGCATGAACTAGAAAAGGCCCCCATTGCTGGAGATAAATACTACTATTTGTCAGGAAACTGACCTAGGATGACCCCTATGAGAATGGTGCCCCTGGAGTTGCTCAGTGTGTGGCATGCACTACTGTACCTGGTGGCCTAGAGTGGAAAGCACATTTGTACAACCTCCACGGCAGAAAACACACAGGACACTGATGAGGCTGAGGGTCCCCAAGCACCAAACAGCAGTGAGCTCTGTGAACATGGGCTGAGACAAGCCAGTGAAGCCTCACAGTGTCCAAGCAGCCCCTGCACCAGGAAGGCTCACAGCTTCTTTTGACATCTTCAGTGGTACTTGTAAGGTATCATCACAGAAGGGCTGTGTGGCCTGCAGGCAGCCCTTGCTGTCTTCTCACCATTTTAATAGTGTAAGAACTTTGAAATCTACATGTAATATAATGCATTAGGTCTCCTTTTGGCCTGAATAATGTGAGGTTTGGATTTAATGTTGATTTTAGTCAACTGGTCCAAATATTACATATCATATTGTAATTAGATTGCCTAAAAGTATTTGTTTTCAAAAGAATGATTTTTAAAACAAGAGCAACAGGCCAAGGGGGTGACAGGGAATGGTTACAGTTTGGCCATCATCCTAACATCAGCCTTTTGGTTACACAAAAATCTGTCCCAAATGCCTTATGTTTTTTCAGGTGGTTAAAACAAAACATTAAAGGACTTTCGGGAAATGCAACTGTTTCTGGATGCATACTTTGAAGAAAAAATACTATTCTTCATTTTAAAAGCTATTTTTCTAATAGTAAGCAAAGACAAGAGATAAGGTCATATAAAATGAAAATAATGGGAGGGGTGGAGACAACAAGAGAGAAAAGTTGTCTTAAAGCCTCATGACAAAGTTGTATACAGTACGTGGGAAGACAGTGAAAAACAAGTGGGATGGAGTTGAAAATAATGTTTTATTCTGCTAGCACCAGTCTCTCTCTGAGACAACAGATTTTTGTTTGAGAAAAAGACTGTAATGCCAGGCCACAAACGATGGGTCACACCTGTAACCCAGCACTTTGGGAGGCCAAGGCAGGCAGATCACTTCAGGTCAGGAGTTTGAGACCAGCCTAGCCTACATAGTGAAATCCCCATCTCTACTAACAAAAAAATACAAAAATTAGCTGGGCATGGTGGTGCATCCCTGTAATCCCAGCTACTGGTGAGGCTGAGGCAGGAGAATCGCTTGAACCTGGGAGGTGGAGGTTGCAGTGAGCCAAGATTGTGACACAGCACTCCAGCCTGGGTGACAGAGCAAGAGACTCCATCTCGGGGGAGTAGGGGGAAAGAACATTATGCTGTAGGGTGGATTGATAATTTCCACAGTTGCCCGCTGTAACATTTCTGGTCTCACATGTTCTTCCAGGATGTTACCATCACCCCCACTTTAAGAGATAGTGTCTGTTTCCCCATCCCTTTAAAAGGACCAGGGCCTCTGTGAATAGAATTGGAAGAAGAGTACAGCCGGAGTGACACTGTGTGACTGCCAAGTCTGGGTCAAAAAGGCGAGAGGACTCCACTCAATATTCTCGTGTTTGTGTTCTCTCTCTCTGTCTCTCTGTCTCTCTCTCTCAGTGGTTGAAACCCCCAACCACTATGCTGCGAGGTGCCCAGAGGACAAAGTTGGAGGACTGCAGAGAGAGGGTTCCAGGAGAAGGACAGGAACATGATAAGA